GAAACCCTCCTGGGGCACACCCAGCCTCTATAAACTGGGCACCCTTAATTAAATAATTGATTAAGTGGGAAAAACTGGCGGTTGAGCGTGATCTCGGTCAAATCACCTCCTTGCACAACCGTCAGTGCTTTCCCTCAATAGTACTGAACCCAAGACCCTTCATGGGTTGTAGTGGTACAGGTTAGTTAACTAATAGAACAATTTTACAGTTTATTTTTTTCCGCCCACCTATGGATACAGTCAATACCCTCTTGTAGTTTTCTGGTAGCCTCAGGCATCTCAGATGGTTGGAACAATAAGAAAATTTGTAGATTGTCTGCATATAAGTGATAGTGGTAATGGCGAATGGAGTCAGGAAGGTCGCTAATATAAATGGAGAACAGAGTTGGAGAGAGTGCGGAGCCCTGAGGAACTCCCTGTTTTAATAACACTGTTTGGGAGCAATGGGATAAAAAAGAGAGGAACTATTTCAGTACGCTATTCGATATCGGCAGGCTTTGGATTTCGGTAATGAGGATATTATGATTGACGGAGTCGAAGGCTTTTGAAAAGTCGAAAAGGTCTAGGATGGAGATTTTCTTTTTGTCTATGAATATAAGCTCGAAATGTACCAAGTACATTGCGTTGTTCTAAGATATAAAGTAACGCGTTTATTAAATAGCAATAGGCTATTAGATTAATCTCAAGACTTGCGAGATTATTGCTGCAAGGCCGAAACCGAGACCAAGAGCAATTAAATCTCATGCTGGTCTTGAATCTCAGCTACTCTAATCGAGAAAGTGTGCATAACTTCCTCACCACATACAAAAAATTACAAATGGAGATAAATAATCAGGAAGCAGTCATTTAAAGAATTTATTTTTTTTTTAAATTTAAGATAAATTTATTTTTTATTAAATGTAAAAAAGTTTAAAATATCTGAATTGTGTATAACCCCAAATAAAAATACAACGTTTTTCACAGTTTGTTGCGGAAAATGTGATAAGAATATCATGTGAAAGTTGAGGGGAAATTGAATCATAAAGTTATTCATGTTGATATATGTTATGTCAAGGCTATGTTGATGTATATTTTTATCTTTGAATATAAATGACAGTTTAAATAAAAGTAATATGTCAAGCCAGCTAGTCGACTTTCCCTAATCGATTATAGTTTACATGTTTGATTCATTCATTTAGTTTATTTATTATTATTTTAATCCAAATTTAGAGGGAGGGGGCGAAACGATATTCTCGCCTGCTCAACATTTTTATTAAGATCCTCTCGTCAACAAACATTAATTTATTGTAATAGTCCGTTGTACAGACCCTATTTTATCGAATTATTGAAATCCGGCTCTAACTTCGTAAATACCTTTATCTCATCGCAACCTACAAACATTTTATTTACGAAAATTCTCGGAATTTGGGGGTTTTCAATCTGGAGGTCGGCAAACTTTATTTAATTAGCTACTAAAAAACTCGTATATACCCATTTGTTTTCCACTCGGACCTTAAGATAATTTTATCTCAAAATCGATAAAAAAAAGGTGGCCTACAATAATCTTGGACCGTTTGGCCTATATAACCTCATTATTTTGAGAATTTAGTGGTGTAGGACACGCCGGCTTAATATTTTTGAAGGCCACCTTTTTTCTCGACTTTGTGATCAAATTATCTTACTAGCCGAGTGGAAAGTATTAACGAGTTTTTAGTGCCTAATTAAATAGACAATGTTTGCCCCCCTCCAGATTGAAAACGCCCCGATTCCGATCATTTTCGTAAATAAAATAGTTGTAGGTTACGATGAGATGAAGCTATTTACGAAGTTTCAGGCGGATGTTAATAATTTGATAAAAAGAGGTCTGTACCACGGATTATAAAATACGAATGGAAATTTTCGATTCTGAGCACAAAATTATTTTAACCTCGAATACAAAATAATCGGACGTGTAGGTTATCCATTTATGTAGTTTACCACTTTTTATTTTATACATATTTTAAAGTTTCTTATTAGCTATTATATAGGATTTTAACTGCGAAAAAATATCCAACCACTGATGGTCGTAATTATTAATACATTGCCGTGTGATTATATTCGAGCACTATTCTGCAAGGTCAGTTACACAATTATGTTATTATTATCTACTTCTTCTTTGTCAACAATCCTAGGATGAAGTACTAGTAGATATCCAATGCGTAAAAATAACTTTTTAATAAATGTATCAGATATAATAGATGCAGACTTCAGGAAAATATCAAATGGGGCATAGGAGCTATATCTCCCCTCCCCCGCCAATATTTCGAGTAACAAAAATAAAATGAATAACAATGAATCTCCAATAATGAATAAAATATGTCTTCTGTTCATTTTTCCTACTTTTGGTGTCTTGAAGTTTTTTTTATTTGTTTCAATAAATTAGGCCATTTTTCACCAACATTTTATTATTACGCATCAATTTAACGTTTCGACCATACTAAGGGTCATTTTCAAAACTGGAAAATTATAATATCATTATTAGTTAATATTCAGCAATTATAAAATGAATTTCTTATTACATTTAATTGAATTGTCCAACGTTCTATGTCAAATTATTTCCGATATACTTAAATTTTAAATAAAAATATACATAAAGTATACATCTTTTTTAATTTATTTTTTTATTAATATGTAAACCAAAATTAATTAAGAAATTAGGAAAAAGTAGACTACATAGAAAAGATAAGCCGTAGAAGTAGTAACCGAGACGTGTCTTGGTCTTGCGCAAGAGTCTCTCAACAGTCTTGTAGTTACTTATTAGCTTATTACTGTAATTTTTTAGTTAGGAGAAACCTAACTAAGCCCGAAAGAAAAATTAGAGGAGTTAAATGCAAAAGTATATTGTTCATACCAATTATAAACATATAGTAACTAAGATCTTCAAGTATTAGTAACTATTTTGCCTTAATTTTTATTTTTAAAAATCGATTTTTTTACCAGTCCTGGTCTTGGTATTGGAACAGTTAGGTGGCCTTGGTGTTGGTCTTGCAAAATGCAAGACCAAGACCGATTTTGGGCAACACTCTTCAGAAGTAGTCCAGTAACCTTGTCATGAAAAGGGGGATTTAAGTTGCATCGAATAAAAGGAGAAGTTTTCTTTTCTTTTTTTAAAGCTATTTATTGTTTTTTTGGTTTCTTGTTCCAAAAACTGCTATATTTTCTCACTTTTTACGGTTTTTTGACTGATTTGACTCCTGCAGAACCTCATCAATATTCATTAATGTTCGCCTGGAGCGCTTCTTTCCAAAGTCGTCTCTCCAATGCTAAATTGTTCAAACCAACGCCGCGCTGTGCGCTGGTCAAGGACACCCTCCCTTTCATATTTAATAATATTACGGGCTGTGGATGTTTTTTTCTAGTAATGCCTAAAAATTACGATAAGTTCGGGGAACACAATCATGTTTTTTTGCTTTTAACCAAATAATTATACTGAGACTTTTTTTTTTTTAAGTATTAAAATATTTACATTTTCTTGAAATCTTGAATTTGATAAAACGGTAATTGTTTTATACACCTTATGAATTTGATAAAACGGTAATTTTTTTTATACACCTTATTAATTTGAATACATTGTAATTAAAATACGCTGCATTTTAAAAACACAAACTAATTTTGAATGCTGTTTTTAAAATATTAATTAAAATAGTTTTTGCCCAGGTCTAGTTTATATGAATAGAATAGAAATGTCTGCCTAGTATCCAAGGAAAAATATCCTAGAACAGGCATAGTTGTTAACCTTGGAATATTGGTTTTTGTACACACACGATATAAATGTTGAGGCAGTTATATAGACCCTATAGTAGATTTTTATTTATATTTCGATACCTTTATATTTCTATATATAATGTTATTATCAATTTCTTTTTAATAAAATAAAAATAAAAATAAATAAAGGTAAACGTAGCGCGAGGTCATACTTTTTTTTTTTTTTAAAGACAAATTATCATTTAATTGTTACAATTTTAATATATTACCAAGTTCTTTTCAAGCATTCGCGATTTATCATTCCATAAATTATCATTTCAAATTTGTAGTGGCCTTTCTTTTAAAGAAACTACATGAAATGATGTTTAATCGGTGCATTTTAAAGGACTGTGAAACAAACGTTTGCCAAGTGAGGCCATTATAGCAATATAGCTTCCTCACCATTTTGATTGGTTCCACACTTCCCTATATCTAGAGGTCTATTACTGCTTTTACTAATTTCACCTTTCTTCTAGCTTTGAGTAAAATCGAACGAGCCGTTTCTATAACAACGGCATGTCTTAGAAAATACATTTGTGCGTGCGCAATCGGAAATACTGTATAGAATTATCATAAGGATAACCACTTCTCTTTAAAAAAAAGCAAAGTGCTCATTGGCCGTTATAGTCCGTGGTACAGGCCCCTTTTTATCAAATTATTAACACCCGGCTGAAACTTTGTAAATACCTTCATCTCATCGTAACCTACAAAGATTTTATTTACGGAAATTCTTAAAATTTCTTGTTTAATTAGGTACTAAAAACTCATAAGTACCCATTTGCTTTCCACTTGCATTGTAAGATAACTTGAGCGCAAAGTCGAGAAAAAATGTGGCCTTCAAAAATACTGAGCCGTTTAGTGTGGACCTACAACCCCAAATTGCCAAAATAACGAGGTTATATAGGCCAAATGGCTCATTATTTTTTAAGGCCATCTTTTTTCTTGACTTTTTGCTAAAGTTATCTTACGATTCAAATGTAAAGCAAATGAGTATTTAGCAGTTTTTATTACCTCATTAAATAGAGAAAGTTTGTCGACCTCCATATTGAAACGCCCCAATTCCGAGAATTTCCGTAAATAAAATATTTGTAGGTTACAATGAGATGAAGCTATTTACGAAGTTTCAATAAAAAGGGGTCTGTACCACGGACTATTACACCAATGGTCTTCATCGAATGATTTTGTTTAGCGATAAGAAAATTTTTACGATTGAAGAAAAATTTAATCGCCCAAGACGTATGCTCGCACACAGCTCTAAAGAAGCCCAGGGAGTCATTGGAAGAGTGGAAAGTGGTCATCACCCATCTTCAGTAATTGTTTGATGGGGAGTTTCCTTTGACGGCACCAAAAAGTTCCATTTTTGTGAAAAAGGAGTTAAAACAGCCGTTAAAAACTATCAGGACGATATTTTGGAACCTGTTGTCAAGCCTCTAAAAGATACTCTGTTTGCTGGAAGTCATTGAATTTTCCAGCAGGAATCCGCTCCAGGTCAACTCAGCAGTGGCTGCAAAAGAATATTCCAGAGTTCATCTCTGCCTCGGATTGGCCCTCAGGAAGTCTTGATATCTCAACCCACTAGATTATCGGCTTTGGTCCGAACTGGAGAGGATGGCATGCCACAGAGCACACCCTAACTTGGAAATCCTCAAACAATCTCTGGTCCGAGCAGTTGAGCTCTTTCCTTTTGAGTAATTTCTTTTTTGTTTTACTCTGTATAGATATAGAATGAAATCTGTATATATTTTCTTGTAACAATATTTATGACAGGACTAGATATAGTATAAATTTAACCTTTCTTTCTATTACTCCAATACCTGCCACTTTTTACGGCATATTTTATCAGAGGGTAGGATGACCAAGTGGACTAAATTTTAAATTTTATACATGCCTATTATATGATAAAATAATTACGAGTTCGCTTCCCGGTGACAAGAGAGAGAGAGAGAGAGGGGCTTTTACATCTGGTATTTATCCCTCTTCCTCTCTCCTGGCCAAGGAAACACACGTATACTAAAAGGCGAAGGAGGACAAAAAAAAAAAGCCATTATATTCTTATCAATTAGTTTTTAATTAATTTTAATTTTTTGATGAAATTGATAGAAGATCATTTTTACAATATTCTCTAACTTTTTTTTCAACTTTGGGTCAAATAGAACAATACTTTTTCGAAACATGACTATACCTTTCACATGCGAAAGTAGCAGATGAAATTTTATTAAATTCATAGCTAGGACTACATTATTAAAATTATAATAAACCACCAGTTTTTTTTTTTTTTTTAATTTTATTAGTGAATTTACTACTACCAAAAATATATTATACTTCTTTTTCGATTATTGTGTCAAGCTTTCTTAATATACTGACTTCCGATAAGGTCACCATTTAGTCATTACTTGATTTCTTCCCATATTGTCATTCTAGACTATGATAAAAAAAAATTTAAAAGAAGATATATTTGAAAAATGTTGTTTTGGTTTCGGTTGACATTAAAAATGTTTGACCTCGATCCGTTGACACAAGGTTATGTTATTAAAGAAGAAACATACAATTTATGTTACTAATAATTTTTCTCACAGATAACCAAGAAGTATAAATCTGCATAAATGCTACTTTATAATTAGGACAAAAATCTGTTTTAAATAAATAATTGAAAATAATTAGATTTAAAAAAAACTAAAAAAAAAAAATGCTGAGTTAATAAAATATAGTTTTCTCAAGTTTTTGGATTCATTCACAACATCGGTGTGTGGGGGGCAATCTCCCGCAAAATTTTAAAGAACAAACATGAAATCAAAATCGATTAAGGAAACAAGAAAAGTCGACTAGATAGCTAAACTAACCAATGTTACACATAAACAGAACATCTTTTCTTAAGTATTTCACAACGCTCTATGTTCCTATCATTGAAATTGTACTTTATATTTAAATATTGTAACGTATCATAGGATTTTATGGTTCATTCATGAAATGAAACTCATTCATGTGCAATCTTTTTTATTTAAGTGAAGCATTTTATAATTTTTTCGTGGCAAATATGAAGCATTGGTGAGTTGAGAGTCCATCTTATTACCTCAAACCTTTCGAAAAATCTAAATATTCAATTGTTTTGTTAATAAATTTTCAAATATATCCGTTTATTCATATATCAATTGAAATCCCGAGAAATCTCAAATTAATGATGTACAATTCTATGATAAAGCCAGTTCTAATATATGGCTGTGAGACCTGGACATTAACCAGCATCCTAGAAAAAAGTGTTGAAAGATTTGAGAGGAAAATCCTTCGCACGATAACCGAAACGGTCTGGGATCAGAGTACTAACACATGCGGAAGAAAGACCAATAAAGATCTGCTAACAGAAACTGGTCAATCAATATCTTATAATATGAAGGCACGGAGGTTAAGATGGGCGTGGCATGTAGCTCGTAACAATCCATCAGGAAGCCAAAAGACCACGTGGAAGGCCAAAAAGCAGATGGATAGATAGAATCAACAAAGATGCAAATGAGCAGCATGTAGATAACTGGAAAGAAATAGCCCAAGACAGGCAGAGATGGAGCAGGCTTGTTAAGGCATTACTACATGGTCTGTAATGGCAACAGAAAAATAAAAAATAAATTATTTTTATATATAGTATTATATTGTTTGTTTTACAGTAATTATGGGCTTCAATGCCATTATAATTTTATTTAAAGCTGAATAGAACAATGCAATAAAAGAACATTAAGTTTTTTTTTAAACCATTACAATCTCCCATTGTCATATCTTTACTGCCTACATCATTTCTCGGCCAATAATAAGTCGTTTTTGAAATATAGTTTTTGATATGAATTGATACCCATCTGTAAACGAAAATAGATGTGGAAATTTGATGAAATTTATACTTTATATTTTTTTTTCTTAACTCTCTGACTTCCCTCCAATTTTGAACCTATTTAAAAGATAAAGTTTTGATATATACAGGGTGTTTCGTAATTATTATAAGGTATGTGGTTCACTAACACAAAATTAACAAAAAAGTTCATATTAACATATATCTCAAACTTATTTATTAAACAGATGTCAGAAAATGATAAAGATTTATTATTACTATTTATTTATTATTAGTAAGACATTTAGAGTAACTATTTAAAGGGGCCTCCGTTTTGTTGAATGCAACATTCAGCACGACGAATCCATGCTTCTCTGGCTCTTCGTATAGCATCAGGATGGTGCTTGATAGTTACTACGGCTTCCAGGATCCGATTTCTTAGCTTTTCTTGCGTGCCAACTGTCGCAGAATAAACCACAGTCCGTTTCGACCAACCAATCGGTTTCCATAAGTTGCATTTAAATAATTTTTCACGATATCTTCGAACAGCAGAAACACCGTTTCTATGTACCTCGCCATATGTTAAAAGCATGTCTGTCTGTTCTGCAAAAGTGAATAAATTTATGCCGTCTCCCATGATAATAATAAATTGAACTGTGTCACAGTATTCACTCACACTAAAACACACAGAACTAGACAAACAGATGAGCAAGTACTGTCATTACTTATCGTTCATTTGTTTATCAGGTGATTAAAACCTGTTATTTAATATTAAACACGTTAGGCTTTGTACAGTCAGTGTTAATGTAGTAAATAAATAATAAATCTTTAACCTTTGATATCTGTTTAATAAATGAGTTTAAGATATATGTTAATATGAACTGTTTTGTTTATTTTGTGTTAGTGAACATATGCCTAAAATAGTTCCATGCAATTAAGAAACACCAATTTTTCGTTTTCATTTTGGTTCAACACCAACTTGTCTGGTTTTCATAATGAACCCTTCAATTTCACTTGCTCTGTTCCAAGTTTTCCCCTTGTCCCTTAGTCCAAAAATTTAAAATATGCTCCCCCCTCAAAAACTTTGATGAAACCTCCTTCTGGGCGCCCCTATTAGAAGTTCTCAGGACGAACTGGCAGACATTTGAGTAAATAAATAAATCTCTCTGATGATTCATAGGCAATAAGGAAAAATTCATAGCTGTCATACACGTATCATAAATCTTATAAATAATGAAATATTTATTTATTTTTTTTTTTATTTTGAGGTTGAATATAATGTATAGTTGAGGTCTGTTTAATTAATGCATAGTTACGGCAGATTAATGCATGTATTTATATATTTCATCTATTACCATTCCCATTTATAGAGGACTTGTTTTATTTTCTTATCGTAGATATTTAAGCGAGCGGGGTAGCTCAGTGGGTGAGCACTGACTTCCAATGCTCAAGGTACCAGATTCGAATCCGGCTGATGACTAGTAATTTTTCATCAGCCGTGGGTCGACTCTGGAGCCTAGAGACACCCTCATGGGGATAAACCCAGCCTCTAAAAAGTGGGTACTCTTTATCAAATAGTTAATTAAGGGGGAAAACCTGGCAGTTGAGCGTGATATTAGCCCAATCACCTCCCTGCACACAACCTTAAGCCTTGTAATAGTATTCCTCACATTGTACTGGACCCAAGACCCTTCATTGGTTGTTAGTAGTACAGGTTTGGTTAGAATATATTTACGAATATATTTTTATATTTGAATATATTTTTGCATATTTAAAAACGAGGTATATAGATATTTCATAAATACCAGATTATCTCATATGAGATGTATAATGAGAATTTTAACTTGTAAATTAAAATGTGATTCGGATTATCATAGTGATAAAAGATTATTGGCAACTGTCAAACAAAAGGGCAGATAATTAACATTTTTCATAATAAAATTTTAAAAAGTCTAAGTTAAAAGGAATAGAGTTAATAGACACTCAACTGCTTAGATCTTAAGTGTCTTTCTGTGGCGATTTTTTAAATTTCTCTTTGCTTGTTTTAATACATTATATTAAAGTATTGCGATCGTGAAAATTTTCAAATATGAGTTTTTAACGGAAATACATGTTTTGAGGTCTCCTGAGTCCAAATAACCAAGTCCCGTAAAATAATCTGTGTATGTATGTGACAGGTCTAGTTCAAAAACGAAAAGTCGCATAAAAGTGAAATTGCATGTTTAAGCTTTATATATATATATATATATAAGCAATTTCACTGTACGACTTTTCGTTTTTGAACTAGATCTGTCACATACATACACACAGATTATTTTGCGGGACTTTGTTATTTGGACTCAGGAGACCTCAAAACATGTATTTATATATATATATATATATATATATATATATATATATATATATATATATATATATTCTTCAATATCTATAACAACAAAATTGTCACCGTTTTTTGTGCTAAGCATGTATTTTGTCTTATCGGTCTTATCCGATTCCCATTTCTTTACAATCTATAATTAACGTTCTCGTATTTAGTTTTATAGTTTCCGTGCCTTCGCATAACAGGACCAACAAATCACCGACATAACCAAGCATGGATATTGTTCGACCCAGGTTCAAATCTTCTTTAGTACGCATAACTTCCCTAATGGTATGTTCTAATATCAAATTGAACAGGTCAGGTGAAAAAAATTCACCTTATTTTAAGCCTGAACGAACCTCAAACTTTTCGGTAAATGATTAACGGATTCTAAATTTTTTTAATGTTTCTGACAAGCACATCCTAACTAGATTTACTAATTTCTTTTAAATCCCCTGTTCGATTTGGATATTACGAACGATTTATGATATATTATATATAATATAATATTACTCATTAAATATAATTAACGTATTAATGTCTCTTAAAAATCTATTATAGGAAGTGCCATTTCCATATAGCCGACTTTAGCGAAAAAGTTGCTTGAACATCTTAAACATATACATTCCTTAAATGTTCAATTTCAATTTCTTAAGACTTTTCGTTTTTTGAATTATACACCCCCCCTCTTCCCCACACACACATAAACATATACACATACAATTTTTTATAGATCTGGTAATACAGGAGATCTTAAAACGTGTATTTCCGTTGAACACTCGGATTTAAATTTTTTCACGATCGAAATACATATAGGTAAGTGAAAGTAAACAAAAAACAAAAAAAGCTACCAGATTAAATTAAGTATTCATTTAACTACGCTAAACCAATTTATTGTTAAAATGTCTGGCAAGTATAATTAATAAATATTAAGATATGTTTATTTCTCCTTATTAAAACAAATATGTATATATATATATATATATATATATATATATATATATATATATATATATATATATATCCTTTTATAGAGCTCCTGAAAGACTTACTGTTGTGGTACACGACGGTCCAACTGCCGGCTTCACACTGACCTTTCGCTTTCCCGCTTCACTTCCCCTACTCCAGGGCAATTAACATCTTAGATGGTATTAATGTAAAGGTTTCGACAGTGAGCTATCGTGGCAGTAGTAGGTCACTGCCACGGTGCAAAGTGTTCGATAGTATGACATTTGTTGTCTTGGTAATACTATCGCAAGGATGACAGCTACTAATCATCATACGAGCTGTCCCTATTAGTCCGCTATTTAATCATTTTTACTTTCGTGATAGATATGTAATATATAGATAGTCTGAGAAAGTAATATGATCCTAAAAAAATATGCATAAAACCACACGAAAGCAGTGAAAACGTCAACGGTATTAATATTATAAAATGTTAAAGACAGACGTTATTATTTGTTTTTTCAACATATTTTTCCCTCGCCATCACTCTAAAATACAATGAGTTATATAATTCATTACACTGAGGATGAAACGCTAAATATTTCCCTCGCTTACATTATGCAGATCCGAATGTTAATGTCTGAAATATCTTAATGCTTATGTTAAAAAAAGGGTGTGTGGTAGCTCAGTAGTAGGGACCTTTAGGTCCCGGGTTCGAATCCCGGCTCATGGCAGAAAAATTATTTATTCTGTTTCATTAGCCGTAGGGTGATCCTGGGTCGGTAGAACCCTCCTGGGGCACACCCAGCCTCTGTATAAAGTGGATAGCCTTAATTAAATAATTAATTAAGGGGGAAAACCTGGCGGTTGAGCATGATCTCGGTCAAATCACCTCCTTGCACAACCGTTGACCTAGAAACAGTGCTTTGCCTAAATAGTACTGAACCCAAGACCCTTCATGGGTTGCAGTGGTACAGGTTTTTTTTTATGTTGAAAAAAACTCGTTATCATTTGGTTTTTGACACTGTATTTTTTCCCTTCCCAGCTCTCTAAGTCAGCATCATGCCAATATGCAATTTCTAATAACAGCTCATCACAAAGAGATTGAAATGAAGAAACATTTTCCTCGTTATCCGTATGCAGGTACGATTTTTCGTTTCTGATATATTTTAATCCAATGCTAAAGCACTTCAATTAGTCGAATCGAACCGACTTTACCTGAAAGAGCGTTACATATTATAGCGTGACGGCTCTGCCTCATTTACTAGCCGTACAAAAAGTGCAAAAATAGCCTAAAAAGGTGTTAACTTCAAAAACTGTTACTGTTTCGTGGTGAACCAGTAGAACAAGCCATTTTAAAAAATATATCTAAAATGATTTCCTAACTATACGGCTCAATCGTTTCCTTCACTGGTTTTTCTGTTTGTGATGTTGGGCTTAAAATTGTTTTATTAATCAAAATTTAGGTAACATTGTAGATGAGATTTAGTATGTTTTATTTATTTACTGTTGATATGTTTGCATAATTTTGTGAAAACTGCACCTTTATTTCAATCGCACAGCTTGAAACAGAAAAAACAATTATAATTTTAAAAAATTTCTTATCACAGAAATTGTTATTATAAATAGTTTTTCGGTTCCTTTTTGGCTATAATTATTCCCTTTTTAAGTAAAAGTTTTACAGAACAATAATTTTTAAAAACTTTTATTTAATTTTCTGTCGATTTCGCAAAAAAAGTCGCTCTTAAAAATTGCTTTTATTCATTGATACTAAAAACAAACAAAATATTAGAATCATGTAATTCATTTAAAACAAAAATATTGGGATGTTTGGCTTATATAACCTTGTTATTTTGACGATGTGGGGGTGTAGGTCACGCCAAACGGTCCAGTATTTTTGAAGGCAACTTTTCTTCCCTACTTTGTGCTGAAATTATCATACGATTCAAGGGAAAAGCTAATATATATATTTAGGAATTTTTAGTACCTAATTAAATAGACAAAGTTTCTCTTCCTCCAGATTGAAAAGATCCCAATTCCGAGCATTTTCGTATATGAAATATTCGCAGGTTACGATGATATGAAGCTATTTACAAAATGGCTCAAGTCTATATTCCCAGTAATATACTTCTATTTGTACAACAACTGTTTTACAGAATGACAGTTCAGTTGACAAAATGACAAACTCCAATTTCAATTTTTTTTTATTATTAATTTTAACCTACTCTGGAATCAAATAACTCACTGCCTGTATTATTATATTATAAATTTTCCAACTAGAAATATCACTAAAAAGACTTTACTTAAAAATGTTACTTAAGTTACAGTTTACTTAAAACTGGAGATAGTCTTATTATCTTAGTAATCTTAATTATTAAACTGGAGGAATATTTTCTAGTGGAACAATCATGTAATCACTTATTAAGCATATTGTTACTTAAGCAGTTGTGGTAGAGTATAAGCTTCACAGATTGTGCGTTAAATAGACTATCTTGATAATTTTATATTGTAAATAGAAATATAAATGTCTTACTGTTGTCGCTTTAAATGAGATTAAAGAGAAAGAGCTATCTATATAGATATCTATCTATATGTATCTAAATCTATCTAAATGTGTGAATTCTCAATGGGATATACTAGTTTCTAATATTAAAAAAAAAATTGAGTTAATAAATTGATGATACGGAATAAACAAAGTTGCCATAGGACTACTTAAGGGAAAAAATAATATAGATGAGTAGGCGGATGTTTAATGATTTGATAAAAAGGGGTCTGTACCACGGACTATATATTAAATATTTTCATTAGCCCCACCATAAAAAAAATTCAAAACAACCCCTCCTCACCCAATTTTATGAACATTTTTTTTTTATTTCTTTATGACATTTACAACTGTATTACATAAATACATCAAGTAAATTTGGACATAATTGATATAATGACATGAATACACTTGCTGAGTAACTACCCAATGGTAGCACTCTAATGATACGTTTACATTAGGAGATCACGGGGCCATCTTCTTTTCAGACGCCTCGGAGGGTTTTCAGTAATTGAAGAGGAAGCAAGGTTAGAAACTAGAGGATTGGGATGATTCTGAAGTTTATTATGGAAGGATAAGATCTGAAACATAAGGAACATTAAGATCTTTATGGATAATTTTATTAGTGACTAAGTAAGGAGCATTGAGGATTTTACGAAGGATTTTGGATTGTAAGGATTGGATGCGAGAGGAATTCGATGGTTTAGTGGAGCCCCATAGCTCAACTCCGTAAGTCCAAATAGGTCTTATTATAGTCAAGTATATAAGTGTTTTGTAATTAATGGGAAGTTTAGAGCGTTTGTCTAGTAAGTGCTGAAGTAATCGGAAACGTCGAGCGGTTTCTTGTCGTTTCAGTCTAGTATGAGGATTCCAAGTTAGTCGTTTGTCCAGGTGGAGTCCTAGGTATCGGATTTGCTCAACAGGGATAAGTAGAGTATTGTTAAAGGAAACTGTAGGACAGGAAGTCGTTGGTTTACGACGAAGGGTAATGGTATTATGAAATTAACTTTGGATCTTCTTCCCTCCCCTCCTCCTAACTCCATAATACAAAATCCATCTCAAAAAAAGCTTCTCAAATTTTAACTATATACCCGTCAACGACAGCTAGTTAAAACTAAAAGTTTTGTTAGAGAAAACAATCAGAAGTTTAAAGTTAATGGTTTAATTATAGTTAAGCTGACACTGCTTCTGCTCTTCTCTGCCCTTCCTCTATCCGATACCATTCTCCGATGCTTTCCACTTTCGCTTTGAATTCATCTAAACAATTATTATAAAATATGTATTTAATAATAATCATCATAAAGTTAAATAAATAATCAATTTTATCTTAAGCATAATCCAAACTAGTAGACATGTTTCCCGGTTTTGGTCTCGGAAACATGTCTCAGTTTTAGCCCTGGAGCCAGGGCCCAAAAATCGACCTGATCGCAGGCGAAGGTTTGATTGTAAATTATGAAAGTGTATGTTATTCTGAGTAAAAAGAAACCTTGTCCGCCGTTCCAGAGCCGCTGCTTTCAAAAATGGCTGCTGATTTAAAGAATATTAGGCCAATAATTTGAGTATCGAAGCGGGAAATCCGTTGCGAAAAATGTGAGAAATGTTTTTATTTTTTTAACTCGTATATATGGGTTTAGGTATGTAAAAAACAAAATTGCTAACGCGAGCTATTAAGGACAACTGTGATCGTAATGACAGCAATATTAAAATAGACTCTAGGATAATTTGGATATCTTCTACTTAAAACTCACCGATCGATTTTTTGTTTTTTTTTAGTTATAGCTCTGGAGCCAGGCCTCGAAAATCGAACTCATCGTATGCAAAGGTTTGGTGGTAAATTATGAAAACGTATGTTATTCTGCGTAAAAAGAACCTTGTTTACCATACCAGAGCCACTGCTTTAAAAAATAGCAGCTGTTTTAAAGAATATTAGGCCAGTAATTACAGAATCGAAAAGTTGAGCGGAAAATGTGAGAAAAGTTTTTAGTTTTTTAACTTGTATATATGTTTTTAGACATGTAAAAAACAAAATCTCCATCGCGGGCCACCAAGCGAAAACTTTTTACAGCCAAAAAAGTCAGATTTTTTCGATATTCTTTGGGTTTATCATCTACAACCCCTAAACGATGTATCAAAGCGAAAAATGTATTCTTTAATAAATTAAGGAACGTTAAATTCTGCGTCAAACGAGTATATGAACTTAAAAATTTGGTTACGCCGTGTTGTAGACATCTCCCTGTATTTACTACTTTAGATGACAATGTGTGAGGGAATGAGAAGGTATATATAATTGTTTACTTTACTATGCCAATCCCTTCCAAGACTGTCAGGGATATTGTCATAATAATTCTGCTTTAAGAGCTGGTGAAAATTTATTGCTGTGGACTGTAAAATTAGAGGAGTTAAAGGATTAAAGAAGTGAATGAGTAAAATTGATTGCTATATTTTATTACATGTATAAGGAGGTTAAATATAGGTGGGTTGGGATACTTGCATTTTTTCTTTTTCTTGTTGTGCCGGTCTTCTCGTTCATCTTCCCTCTCTTCCTTTCTTGGCCCCTTGCCGGCCGCTGTAGTGTTTTACTCCATGTTTAATAAATCAGTGGAATCACAAAATTTTCAACTGGCCAGTCTAGTCAATCACGGTACGTGAGCGTCTACACTTCAACAATGGCGGCGTCACAACAATGACTGAGGCATACATGCAGCATTTCCGAGATAACAGCTGTGATGTGCTTACTCGATTTGATTCAAATATAAAGTTTGATGTGTTCCCTAAACAATAATATATAAGAATGTGAGGTAGCACTGTGAATTGTACTCAATTGTGCAGTGGACAAATTGCTCATTGGAAAATCTCACATCGATAAAGAATCGAAAAGAAGAAAAGGTCCGATCAGGTAGCTGGCAACAGATGGCGAGGACGACGCCAAACACTTGTGGCTTGGACACCAACACAAGAAGACGTCATCTGGGAAGAGAGGCTTACTACATTGAAGACCAAGATTATCAAGCCGACCGTTCACTTATATATATTCATTTATTATCAGTTGTTAAAATAAATTTGTTTTGTTAGACAGGAGTGAATAGTCCTTTTATTTAGTTGTCCTATAGGCCTAACAATTGAAGAATAAACCAGGTGAGTCAATTCAAAGTGTTTACTAAGTCCCACATTTCATATATGTATTCTTATTGTTTCTTCTCACACACTGTCATAAAAGGTATTAGATTTCCGAATTCCCAATCACAGTTAAACACCCTCAAAAAGTCTATATCCAGTGCCGGGGTTTTGTTTTAATAATTCACGAGTGTAAATAACCTTAAACCCCGATATAAAAGCGGAAGGCTATGCGCCTATTCCCGCCAAAACTAATCATTTAAAATTAACTTCCCGTAGATTATTTACAGCCGTAAGGTATAAAACTGTGGTCAACCAACGCTGATCTTTACCAAATTTGTCAAAAACTGAGACACATTACTATAAATGGCTCTGTAACTTGGAAATGAGTTCCCTAAGAGGAAAAATCCATAGGATCAAAGTTGTAGAGCATCAAATTTTGGTTCAACTGTGGCTTGACCCCATTCGAAAATCTGACCGACCCCCAAATATGAATGGCAGATACTTCCTCTATTACGTGACTATTGTATGTGAATGCTTTTCCTTTCTTTGGCCTTCCTTGGAAGAATTTTATAATTTTTGATTTCTCAACCTTCACACACAAGTAATTATCACAATATGATTTGAGGATGTCTAACTTTTCCTGCATGCCATAATGCGATTTTGGGAAGATGATTATGTATTCATTTATTTTAATTCTCCCACACCCCTCGAAGCGAAAATGTCTCTCGATATCCGAAATAAATAAATTAAAAATGTATGGACTAAGCGTCTCACCCTGCAGAACACCTTCAGTTATTTTAATTCCCGTATCCATGCCTTGATTAATAAGTAGTGCTGCTTGGTCAGAAATTTCTTTGAGGACTCTGACGTACTTCGCACTGACGCCTTTGTCAAGTATTCCAATGAGAGGAGGACTTTTAACTCTGTCATAACTCTCCCGCTCTCTCCTCTGGTCCGGGAAAAAACCCCGTATAACCTAAAAATCGAGCTAAGTGAGGAAAAAACAAATTGTCCATTGATTTTAAGACGAATACTATAATTAGAAGTAAATAGTTTTGTTATAATTATAAAAAAATAATATTTACTTTGATAATGCTCCATTGGTTGAAGAGTCCCGCCCAGTTCTCTCGGCAGCAATTCCTTAGGCACCAGCTTGTGGAAACTGCCCAATCCGTCTGTGTGGAATTGGAGCTGAAAAAATAATAGATCACTTTTATATGTGTATTTTTTATTATTTAACATTGTATTTTGTGCTATGTTTTGATGCTTTTAAGCTTAGGTGCAGACTTGGTTATGTGGACTCCCCATAAACTAAAGTCTCGGAAGTTTATATTATGAGTGAGAATTAACATAATTATTGTAAACCGATAATAATAATTTGATAATAATAATGATAATAATAATTTGTCCGAAAAATTTGGGGTTCGTTCGGGCTTAAAACAGGGGGATTCTCTTTCGCCTGTCCTGTTCAATTTGGCATTAGAACATGCCATTAGGGAGGTAATGCGAACCGAGAAAGGGTTGGATCTGGGCGGGACAACATCCGTGCTGGGCTATGCTCATGATCTGGTACTGTTAAGCGAAGACGTTGAAACTGTAAAACTAAATACGACAACGTTAATGAAAGCCGGCAAAGAACTAGGACTCGAAATAAACGTGGATAAAACAAAATATATGGTTAGCTGCAAAAATGGCGATACTACTGGTGATATCGATATAGATGGTAATATGTTTGAACAGGTAGATAAATTTAGGTATCTAGGTTCTACGATAACTAGAAAAAACGAAATTGAAGAAGAGATTAAGGTTAGACTGGAGGCGGGAAATGCTTGTTATTTTTCTGTGACAAAACTACTTAGTTCGCGCCTCTTGTCCCGAAACTTAAAAATTAGAATCTATAAAACAATTATCTTGCCTACAGTTCTTTATGGATGCGAAACTTGGCCGCTTACATTAAGGGATGAGCAGCGTCTTAAGGTTTTTGAAAATAAAGTATTGCGTAGAATATTCGGACCGAAGAAGGATGAGTTAACCGGAGAGTTCAGACGGTTACACAACGCCGAATTGCGTGAGCTGTATCCGGGTAATATAATTGAGGTAATTTCATCGCGGCGAATCAAATGGGCTTGTAAAGTTGTTGGGCTTAGTAACGAGAGAATTCCTAAAATGTTAATATTTGCTGTGCCGAATGGTAAGCGTCCGAGGGGTAGACCGAAGCGAAGGTGGGAAGATTGCATTAAAGCCGATCTGAAGGGACTGGGTTTGGACGGCGAACGGTGGAGGGAGGTGTGTAACAAGCGATTGGTGGTGTCGGCATCGAACCTTCGGGTTCGCTAAGCATTATTATTATTGTAAACCGAACAATATAATAGTATATATCAAAAAAAGATGTTATCTTTCTTAACTTTGTATATCATAATAATGTTGATAAAATGCATAGTTTTGAAGTCATATCCAAAAAACTAAAAATCTGGAGAATTCTCGCTAGTTTTTGCATATACCTCGGTACTTAATGGAAAATTTCACTAGGTAATTTAAAATTCAGAGTCAGCATCCTAAAAAACACAAAAAACCGATGTGAAACCTGAAATTGAAATTTTAATCCAACTTCCATAAGACTGGAATATTTCGATGACTTTGACGTCATCAGTTTTCAAAATGCATCCGATTACATCGTCAGTCGTCAGTCGTCAGTCGAGGTGAATTCTGTTTTAGGGACATATTCTTTATACCATATACAAATTTCAATCGTCAGTTCTTCTGATAAATTAAACATCAAATTTCACAATTTTAATTTAATTTTTCGTATAGAAAGCATCGACTTTCCATCGAAAGACCGAAGTTGTGAGGTCAGATGAGGTTTATCTACAATCAAAAATGGTTACTAACTGTAAGTCCTTCAGTTAAATGAAATGGTGCGTAGCTCCTAGTCTATAACTAGCTTTCAGCTTTGAGATCGAGTCTTTTTTATTAAAAAATAACATATCTTCACCACCTTTTAGCAAATATTAAAAAAACAATTATATTTATAATATTCTGCTTATTAAGGACTACAAAAAATATGAGAAACATTATTTTTCATTTGTCAGTAGTTACAAAGTTATGAGGGGCAACAGAACTGAAATCAAGAAAATTACGCTTTATTGACGCGAAAAAGATCAATTACTGCTCCCTTATCATTTTTTTTTTATCAGGTGAACTTAAATGGAATCTAAAACTAGCATCCTTACCGACTATATTACTACTTTTGGTATTCAAGAACGATGGTTTTTGAACGAGATATGAGGAAAAACATAAAATAAGGCAGAAAGTGCTAGGTAGCCATCTTTGACCCTCCATTTTGGATGGAAGCGGACATGAGATTTTAGGGGACTGTTCATGGTTTGTTCAAAATTCGGTAAGGAACTAATTCCCACGTTTACAGCCAATTATAAATTTTCTTGATATTAAATACTAAATTTACTGGGCTAATTATCGCATAGGTCCTGACACAGGAATGCAAGAAGATTCGGAGGATCTGAGAAAGAAAGGTCCTTCGGCAAATCATTGACTCGATACCTATAAATGGCCAATGGAAAATAAGAAATAATAGAGAACTCCAAGAACTGTATAAAGAACCAGACATAGCCACTTACGTTAAATCAAGCTGTATAAGATGGCTTGGACACGTAGAAAGGATGGGTGAAGATATGAAAAAAGACTATTATATGGTAAACCAGATGCAAAAGAATAAGAGGAAGACCCAGACTTAGATAGATTGATAATGTGGAGTACGATTTGCAGACAATAGAGAAGTCTCCAATAGCGAGGATTGGAGAAACATAGTTGTGGAGGGCTAAGCCCTTCAAGGGGTGTAGAGCCACGGAAGTATTGTTCTTCGAAATATTTTTGGGCGAAACGATATTCCCCGTATTGGGAGTGCGATAAGTTTATAATATTTACCTCCCCCACCTTCGAAGTCTACGCCTATGGTTATAAGGAAACATAAATTATATTTGATAAATAATATCTATATCTAGTTCTGCCATAAATGCTGTTACAAAAGTTGAACTTTATTTACATCCTTGGGTTTTATTTAGATAATCCTTACCTCTTCGGGTTATTTTCTTTACATGTCAGGATAATAATCCCAATGAGTTTGTATTTTTCTTTCGCTCAGTTAACACGGAGTGGCGTGATAAAGAAAACTGAATAACTTTGATCGCCTTACACAAAGTTGGAAAATGTAGGTCAGAGATTTTCAACACTTTGAAACCTTTGTGTACCAGCCGTATGTTCGTGTACCGCGCAATAAATAGATATAAAGAGATCCTATCTGTATGTGACCTAGACCGGGCCGTCCCCGCACTGTGAGAACGGCAAATGCTGTGAGAGCAGTGGCTGCTCTAATCAGAAGAAATCCCATTCGAAAACGACAAATCATTTCTTGGTAAAAGGCAATCTTTATCAGATCAATGTCTCGCATAATAAAAATTGACCTTAGGATGGGTGCATTTCGAAGAATGGTAGTACAAAGGCTAACCACTTCCCTAAAAAATAGAGTGGATAGATGCAAGGTGCTCCTTGGCCGTAACACCAATGGTCCTCATCGAAAGATTTTGTTCAGCGATGAGAAAATTTTTACAATCGAAGAAAAATTTAATCGTCAAAATGGTCTTGTGTACGCACACAGCTCTAAATAAGCACAGGAAATCATTGGAAGAGTGGAAAGAGGTCATCACCCTTCCTCAGTGATGGTTTGGGGGAGGGAGGTTGCTTTGATGGCACCACAAAGCTCCGTTTTTGTGAAAAAGGAATTAAAACAGCAGCTAAAAACTAGTTCATCTATATCTCGGATTGGCCCTCAGGAAGCCCTGATCTCAGCCCACTAGATTATCGGCTTTGGTCCGAACTGGAGAGGATGGCATGCCACAGAGCACACCCTAACTTGGAAAGCCTCAAACCATCTCTGGTCCGAGCAGTTGAGCGCTTTTCTATTGATGACTGGCCACGGATATTAAATGCCTGTGTCTAAGTAAATGGGGAACATTTTGAGTAATTTCTTTTTTGTTTTTCTCTCTATAGATATACATTTTATTTTTTAATAAAGTTTTTGAAAAAAAATTAATTTTTCTATTGAAATCTGTTTATATTTTTACAATATTTATGACAGGACTAGGTATAGAGTTAGGACAGTAGATTCAAATACATGTAGGTGTAAACCTTGTCAATAAAACGTATAAACAATATGATGTTATACGGATTTTATTTTCTTATAATTATACCTCAAGGTTTCTTTATAAAAACAAATACTTCTTAACACTCTAGATCTTGTTTCTTGTTGTTGTAATGTGTAATTCTGGTTTTATATAATTTTAAAAATAAATTACAAAGAAACCGAATAAAGCAAAAGAAAATGAGATTTTTTTATAGAAGATGGTGGATGAAGGTAATTCATTTAAATCTTACTCACAAGCATTGAATTCAACTTCTTTCAAGCAAACAGTAAACAAATGTCTAAAAGCGACAAAAGTCGTTTAAAGAAACGACAGTAAGATGGAATAGGAACAAAAACACTCGCTAAGAGAAACAATCAGTTTGGAGACATTTGTGTTTCCCACATAGTTTGTGAAATGTCTAAACGAACGTTTGTTAAATTATTTTTTAACAAAACTGAGTCGTATTTAATTACTGTAATGATTTTCCAGTAATATAATAATTACTAAACGTCACGAAACTGTGGTTCCAACTCGATAGCTGTAATACCGTAATTACGGATAGCGATGGACACAATAGTTAATGAACCCTGATTGGTGGGAAATATAGTGCTTGGTTTTTTTTTGTCAATCATGGTGGCCTTGGTTGTTTTTTGTTCAGTTGTAATAATAGCATCAGCTGTATCTCCATGTTTTATGAGAAATTAATGTTTTTATCTTTATGGGGCCATTTGTAAGTTCAATGTCATTAGCGTTGCCCAAATGCAAGACGAGTCTTGGTCATGCGCAAGAGTCCTGTAGTTAACTATTAGCTTATTATTTTTTATCAAACATTTTACTTTAAATATTAGAAAAACGTTACAGAATAGCTACATTTAGATATTTTATTGATATTAACATAGTAACGTCCAACCAAATTAATAAAATTAACTTTATAATATATTGAAGGCATTGTCAAGAAAGATATTAGTTCTTGGAATGGAAGAGTTGTAGGATAAAGAGAATCTATACAACCACTAGCGGACCCAGGATTTAATTTTAGGGGGGGCTTCAGCCCGGAAGCTTTTTTTTTCATATATATAACGATAATTACTTTGGAAAAACAGAAAGATACTAACTACCTATATGAAATGGTGTTTAAGTGATTCTTGAAGTCCTATTAAATGTAATTCAACGAGCAATAATACTTTAAGATATATTTTTTTAATATTTTTTACCATAAAACATGGTTACATTTTACCATTTTGGGGGGGCTTAACCCCGAATGCCCCTCCCCTCCCCCCGTAAATCCGCCTGTGTATACAACTGTTTCCACTTACATGAGTTTCCTACAGATTTTAAACAATATTTACTTTCGCTTAGCTATATATGAAATATATAATATTACGTATTACGATCGTGAAAAATTTGGAATCTCAGTTTTCAACGGAAGATTTTTCTCTCAAATCTTTCAATACTTTTTTCTAGGATGCTGGTTAATGTCCAGGTCTCACAGCCATATATTATAACTGGCTTTATCATAGCATTGTGCACCCTTAGTTTGAAATTTCTTGAGATTTTTCGGGATTTATAACAAAAATTACAAATGTATTTACATGAAAATATTTTTACAATAATTAATCAGTGTTCAGAAATTTCTTTTGTTTGGAACTTGAAATTATCTTTTTAAGGCCTCTGGCCGCATCTTATACTAAAAAGAATAGCGTAAATCATCATTATATCAACAAATAAAATTTCGTACTGAAGATTAATCTAATGAAAATGTTAATTATATCCTCTGATAAAAACATTAAGAAAATAAATACACTTCAAAATTTTAATATATACATAGCTTGGATTTTATTTTAAATATAAGGTGTCGATAATACAGTTTTATTAAATATGTGTGTACATATGTATATGTATGTACATCATATATAAAAGCGAATATTCATATATATATATATATATATATATATTTAATGGAGTTGTTCGGATTATGGAATAGTTCGGATTAGCTAGAGTTCACTATATTTTAAAAGTGCAATCTCAGTGTTACGTATGTTCTTTATCACTTGAGTTCTATTGCAGCTCAAATTTACATGATATTTACTTTCACTTACATATATATGTAATATATAGTAAGGGTGAGTATTGCGATCGTGAAAATTTTTTAATCTAAATTTTCAACAGAAATACATGTTTTGAGGTCTCCTGAATCCAAATAACCAAATCCCGCAAAATGGTCTGTATGTGTATGTTAACAGTCTAGCTCAAAAACGAAAAGTCATATAAAAGTGAAATTGCATATTTAAGGTTTTTATATGCTAGGGATGTTACATAAACTTTTTCGTTTATGTAACAAAACTCATAAAAATACATAAAAATCGGCTAACCCGAAGTGCCACTTTATATCAACGGTGTAACACCCACATTTTTACAATTTTATAAATTGTTTAATAACTAATAGTCGTACAATCCATAATCAACCGGTAATATAATAAATAGTCCTTTTGTTATTTTAGATTTGTTAGTTATAAGCTTTTAGCTTTAGCTCGGTTAAAAATGCAATTCAAAAATTTTATAATAGCCCAACATGTCCAGAAAATAATTTCTATTCAAAGTTGAGCAGTAAGTGAAAATTGTGTGTTTTTTTAGAACCAGATTTTTTAAAAAATAATACACAAAATATTCTGATAATGAATGATATTTTGTTCCATATTCACAGTGCAATATGGATTTATTCATCAGATAACAGTATCACAATGACATAAAAATAAACAGAAAATCCGAAATGATTTATATATATATTTATATATTATTATATTTATATATATATTTATATATTATTATATATATATATATATATATATATATATATATATATTTTATCGATTATAAATAATGTTGTACTTACTATTTGGATGAGCTCTTGCTTGAGGAAGGGTTTGATGATACCGTATATTCTTGTTACTATCGGGGAGACATTGATCACGTGGACCGTTGTTATTTTGAGTGGAATACCTTCCTGAAAAGAAAAAATACTATTAAACAATTATTTGATAAGAAGGAGATGGTCCGGGGTGGCGGTCATAAAAAGACTGAAATAATAAGAAAAAAAATGTATTTCAAGCCGACGTTTAGACTCGATTTTGCAGGTCTTCTTCAGGGGAGTATATGCAGCTGGGGTCAAAACCATAGCTGCATACACCCCCCTGAAGATGATCTGCAAAACTCGAAATGTCGTCTTGAAATAAAATAGTTTTTTTTCACTATTTCAGTATTTTTATGACCTCCATCCCAGACCATCTTCTGCCTCTAAAATATATAACGGTTAACCATCAAGTATTCAATAACAAGAATTTTTTTTTTTTTTTTTGGTGGTGAGGGAGAGGGATTTTTTTTGGGTTCTAGTTCCCTTTCGCTTCTCCAAGATGCTATTTCAATATTTAACGCCGTAAAGATGCCGTAAAGATGTTAAATGTAAAGATGCCGTTTACATTTAACAGAACTGCCTTGAGTCATACTTTTTTAGGTTTAGAATGGGAAGTGCTTTGTTACTTTGTTAAGAAGTACTGTGTCAAGGTCAGCGGTTGTGTAGAAAGGTGATCGGGCCAGTATCACCCTCAACCACTAGCGAATCCACCCCGCACGAAAGACCCCCGCCTCAACTGCCAGATTTTCAACTATTAATATTTCAATGTTTTTTAATTATTATTGAAATAATCAAAACGTTAAAATAGAAAACGTTCAAATCAAACCAAACGTTAAGAAATTTACGTAAAATAATATATATTTATTTATTTGGCAGAAAATACATGGTTTTTTTCTTTTCTTTTACGTAAAAAATTTTCTTATTCACAATTCCATTTACCTTAACATGGTGCTACCTTCACCATAAAAGAAACAAAAAACTAAGACCAAACAACAAAAATAAAAATATAAAGATAAATCCTGGGTTAGAGTCCCCAGGTCTCTCAAGCATTAAGATTTTCGTCAAAAACTATGCAGATATTTATACAATAACTTGCTGCGTCATAAATATTTTAAATATATATATACAGACCCAATATATGCAAAATTCAATAAAAATAAAATTAACAATCAATTAGTTAAATTTACTTGATTAACAAAAAAATAAAAAAATAAATGGACACGCATACATACACAGAATCACACGCACATGCCCACTCATACATACACTTATATGCATACCTACTTACACCCGCATACACATCCACAATATTCATAAAATAATACATAGTTAATAGCATACACATATATTTTTTTCGGTAATATATCTTATTTAAGTGGGATTCAATATTGAACGGTTTATATTAAATCGGATTGTTGATTAAATAATCAAAACGTTTCTGAAATTTGCGTAATATAATACAAATAGAAAATTTATTTATTTATTTTTTAACAAATATTTGTTTTTGATATTACAATTGGGATAGGAAATATAGTTTTTCGCAAACAAATAATATTTGTAGCATGTGTAATACAAACGGAACAGAAGATCTCTTACTGGCTGTTTGTCCGATATTCTCTTAATTTAGAATTAATTGGTTAAAATCTAGAAATTTATCTCGGGATCAAATAATAGATTTAAGAAATGGAAACAATTGGATGGAATTGGTAAATTACTGCAAGTCTGCTTTCTTCTATAGAATAATGCTCAACAGAGAATTTAACAATTAATAAATTGGAAAATTTTGGTGCCACTCTTTTTGTAATTAAAATATTAATATAACTTTTACATTGTAAATATTTTTCTTATTTTCTTATTAATTAGTTGTCTATAAAGAGATTGAAATATAATTTTGTTATGAAACACAGACTCCTCTGACGGTCAACAGATTATGTAGCACGTCTGATTTTCTGTTTGAAATCCAAAAATATTATTTGTAATTTATATTATGTAATTTTCATAAATAAAAAGGCTTTTTCTTGTTCTTGTTCTTCTATAGTTTTTCGCGTTAACCGATTTTTTAAAAATAATATTTAGTGTTCATTTCGGAAATAAATGTCTCATGTATATATAATAAACTTTTCCGCGTTGTAGTTTCTATTAATTTAATTTTAAAATTAAAATATTTCAGATACTTTCTTATAATAAATAATAAATACTTTCTTTTAAACATAGATCTTATGTAAAATATGCAAGGTATGTGAAAAAGACTAGGTCAGTATTTTCTTACTATTCTTATGAATATTTCACACAATGACAATAAACTTGTCATTTCTTAATTTCTGTTACGAGTTCGTTGCGGTACTGAATTTTCGCATTGCTATCCAATTGAGGCAGGTGTTCCTCAAGGTAGCGTATCGGGTCCCGTCCTTTACATCCTCTTTACCGCCGATATCCCTGTCCATCCCGATACCTTCCTGGCAACTTTTGCTGATGACACCGCCATTCTATCATCCGACTCAGATCCCAACATAGCATCCTTAAATCTCCAAAACCACCTCACCTTGATTGAGCACTGGTGTAATAACTGGCGCATTAAAGTTAATGAATCTAAATGTCAACACATTACCTTTACACTCCGACGCAATTCCTGCCCACCAGTACACTTTAATTCCATCCAGCTTCCTTACTCAGACACAGTCCGGTATCTTGGCTTTCATTTAGACCGAAGACTAACGTGGAACCCACATACTAGACTCAAAAGACAAGAACTCAACCGACGATACGGCCAGCTATAAGACTACTAAACAGAAAATCCAAACTTTTTATTGAAAACAAATTACTTATCTACAAGACAATACTGAAACCTATATGGACATACGGACTTGAACTGTGGGGGACAGCAAAAGCTTCTAACATCAAACGTATTCAATCCTTTCAATCTAAAGTCCTTCGAACAATAGTTGATGCTCCGTTCTATGTAAATAACAAAATCCTACACCATGACCTTAATATCCCATTTGTCCTAGACCTTATTCCAGAAAAATTCTCCAAATTTCACCAGAACCTTACTTACCACCCAAATCCTCTTGCACAATCCCTATCAAGCATCTCCCATCCCTATAATCCTCCAAGAAGGTTGAAACGGCAGTGGCCTCGCGACCTTTTGTAAATAAGCATCTATTGGAGTTTTGGCAATGGCCAGATCCTCCACTCAAGCCCGAGTGTGTATGATTAGGTTAGTTCTTTTGTTTATATACATTTATTTTATTTTATTGTATTTATTATTATTAAGTTTCTGTATTATTATTTTTTTTTTTAATTGTAAATAGAGTGTGAGTGTGCTTTCTCTGAACACTATTATAAATGTCCTTGATGTGACAGAATGTAATATTTCTAAATAAATTAATATATTACTTACTTAATTTCTGTTATTATTTAAATTTCTGTTTTGTTTTTCATAACGGGATTAATATGCATAACTATTACTATTTTAAAGATTTTAAATAAAGATTTATCTCTGAAATCTAGAAGTAATCATACGGTAATTTTTAGATGAGGATCTCACAGGTTACGCGTGGATCACAAACACTTCGGTCACACTTGTTTTTATAATGCCGAATGTATCCGAGTTTATCCGAAAGACGTTCGGCGTTTCATGAACAAGTGAATCAGTGCGTGCAAAAAACCACTTCAGTCACAAATTTGAAATTTTTCAGAAAAGAATCATAACTCTTCCAAATTTCAGTCAGTCATTTCATATCGCTGTCATGCAAAAATGACCTAAATTCGACATAAATTAGGTTCAGGAAAATTTAAAATTTTATTCAGAGCTGTTTCTGCACTCAACTGTTCTTTACAGACAGCTGAGAACTTGGAAAAAGTTTCATTCATTAATTCCATTTTTTTTTTTTTTTTTTTTTTTTTTTTTTATTTTTTTTTTTATTGAGTATTATAACAATCTGTCTGTTGGACATTGGTTATAGTGAGGTAGGATGACATTCACACCATATGTACAAAAAAATAAAATAAATAGAACAAAATAATAATCAAAAGTATATACAATAGACAATAAAATAAAATAACCTAAAAAATAAGAAAATTAAAACTAAGAAAAAAAAAACAAAAAAAAAAAACACATGCATACCTATATACAATCAGGCGAGGGAACTCCAGGAGAACCCTGCGCTACTCTCCCAACCGCGTCACTGGTACTAAAGCCAGCGGAGATTGGTCTAGAGCACTTTAGCCACATACACACATGTCTTGAGTGAAGAATCTGGCCATTGCCGGAACTCCAATTTATATAATCTACAAAAGGTCGCGAGGCCACTGCCGTTTCAACCTTCTTGGAGGATTATAGGGATGGGAGATGCTTGATAGGGATTGTGCAAGAGGATTTGGGTGGTAAGTAAGGTTCTGGTGAAATTTGGAGAATTTTTCTGGGATAAGGTCTAGGACAAATGGGATGTTAAGGTCATGATGTAGGGTTTTGTTGGATACATAGAAAGGAGCATCGACTATTGTTCGAAGGACTTTAGACTGGAAGGATTGGATGCGCTTGATGTTAGAAAATTTTGCTGATCCCCACAGTTCTAGTCCGTAAGTCCAAATAGGTTTCAGTATTGTCTTGTAGATCAGTAGCTTGTTTTCAATGGAAAGTTTAGATTTTCTGCTTAGTAGTCGGTATAGTTGGCCGTATCGTCGGTTGAGTTCTTGTCTTTTGAGTCTAGTATGCGGGTTCCAAGTTAGTCTTCGGTCTAAATGAAAGCCAAGATACCGGACTGTGTCTGAATAAGGAAGCTGGATGGAATTAAAGAGTACTGGTGGACAGGAATTGCGTCGGAGTGTAAAGGTAATATGTTGGCATTTAGATTCATTAACTTTAATGCGCCAGTTATTACACCAGTGCTCAATCAAGGTGAGGTGACTTTGGAGATTTAAGGATGCTATTTCGGGATCAGAGTTGGATGATAAGATTGCGGTGTCGTCAGCAAATGTTGCAAGAAAAGTATCGGGATGAACAGGGATGTCAGCAGTAAAGAGGATGTAAAGCACGGGACCCAAGACGCTGCCTTGGGGAACACCGGCTTTAACGGAGTAGATATTGGAAA